TCTTCGTTACAACATGATTGATCTAACTGGAGTAATTTCATGTCGTATCCGACAACAGGAGGCTTTCAACAGATGACGTCCTGATGTTAGCTTTGCTGCTGCTGTTAGCTGTCCCTGTCAGTTGCAGCCACTGATGCTTTCTAGACATTGTGATTTCCCAAAACTGAATAAATACCACACATAGCAACACAAAACTGCTTTGCTAGCTCAATCATGTTGTAACTAAGATATCCGCTGGAAAAATATTTTTTTCACGGACTGTTTATTGAGTTACTGAGTTACTAAAGACACCGCTAACGGGGCTAACAGCTAAGGTTTAGCCCAGCTAATCTACGATAACCATGTTATTACTTACAAAACGTGCACACAGAAATAGTAATGTTTGTTCAGTCATTGTGTTTATAGACTTTATAAACATCAGATTAGTCTAAACTGTGATATAGTGACGTGAAAAATGTGAGATATATATATATATGTGTATATATATATATATATGTATAGCTAAACTTTGCTGGTTTTCTACCCGGAAGTACTTGTAAACAACAAGGCAATTCCCTGGGGGCACTGCCTGAAGTGAAGGGGTTGAGCGATCCCCGAGGCCCCTGCACTTCCGTTAGTCGAAAAACTCTGGGCTGTGCCTCCAGAGGTAAAGGGAAAAAAAAAAAAAAAACTTACTAGGTCCAGTACATGTAACAGCAACACATACATACATACTCATAATATAATTATAAACCAAGTCACTTACTTAGCCAACAGCAGCAAGACAACATCCGTGTCTGCCCTCAGCCCAATTTCTTCCTTCAGGGCTCTCCACCGAGGAAAAGCGACGCCAATACAAATCCTTGTTTGCCTTCTCCGTCGGTCACTTTCCTTCTTTGCTAATAGAACTTCAAACAAACGTCCAGGCTTTTTCTTTGTGGTAGGATCCACTTCTGAACCGTGTCTCGGCCGCTTCTCCGCCATGTTGCTTTCTCTTTCTACCTGCGCTCTACCTCTTGCTATGACACTCTCCGCTCTTCCTCCTCCTCCCTTCTTGTTGTGAGGAAGCATTTCCTGTGCGCCAGCGCGGGAATGTCGCCGGTCGTCACGCAAACTAAAAATGATATATATTGAAAAATACCGTGAGATGTTAGAGGAGGCGATCGGCTTAATCAGCATTGTGTCATCTCCTCTAGTAGTGGCTTGGGTGAAACGGACATTTACGGACATGTAGAAGTTACGCACTATAGCTTTAAGCTAGACCCAGTAGTAAAATCTCAGTAACAAGTTACAATATCTTATTTAGATAATTAAGAACAAAAAAACCCTGAAACAAGTGAAATGCTTGAACATAAAACCTGGCCCTTTTGTTGTTTGTTTTGTCCACCTTATTTTGACAAGAAAAATGAGCAAAAATGTCCTTCAGCTTACTCAGATTTCATTTTTGTAGTGTATCAAGTGAAAGCTAATTAGGTAGATAGCTATGGATAACCTTAGCTACAGTAAAGCTGAAATTCACTTAACGTATTGATTTTTCCCCTTCACTAGTTGAAAAATATTCACAATATCTAATTTGATAAGCCGACAATCCTGGTCAACGAGAGAAAATAACTAACTAACTACCTATGAGTATCAGTAACTGTCATGTCGTTGTGATTCTAACTTTCTAGTTATAATTTACGGCAGTAATTTGTTGTGGTCAAATGTTTGGGTTGGACTGAGAGGCCGGTGCTTCATGAGCCAATGCATTGAGACGTAGTAGCGCTAGGGCAGCCAATTGCCCACCGCATTTTAGATAGGAAACCAATTGGTTTGGTTTGATTCAGTCTTCAGGGTCCAGATCTTTCACTTTGTCACACAGAGGCAAATGCGCCCTGGTACACACACACACACACACACACACACACACACAGCTGGGGCTATTAAAGAGGGCACCAATAGGAGCTTGGTGAGAGATAATTGTCTCATAAGTCAGTAAGCACAGCTGTTGGCAAGGTCAAGTTTCATTTATGGACACACATCACCACTCTCAGTTTTGTCTCTGTCTTTTCCAATCCGTCTTTCTTCTTCTTCTCCTCTGCTTTTTTCCCCTTTTCTCTCTATCTGAGCCTGTCCTGTACCTGTCCTGCTCCCTGTCACTCCCCTCCCTCCTTCCCTCCCTCTCTCTTTCTGCATGGTTGGGCTTCAGGATTGCTTGCGCCCTTCAATGAATATTAATGGAAGAGTTTGGATATTATATGAAAATGAACTGTTTATTTACAGAGTCTCTCTCCTTTGACTTTATGGGAGGGTGGCGGAGGCCGGCTGCCAGACTCCGAGTATGAGGATGAAATAGGCCGGTGCTGTGCTAAATAGGATTCAGGTCAGTAAGAGGCTGTGGCCAACCAGATCCGTCATACGGCTTTAGAGGAGCCCTCTTGTTTCAAAACAACACGGCAGCAAAGCTCCGTATTGTTTGGAAGGAGGAGATGAGTGGAGTGGCTCTGGGTCTGTCTCAGTGGTATATGTACCTCAGATTTACTTTGGCTGCTTCTCTAAAATCATTTAAATGTGTTTTTGTTTGTCAAGTGGCAGAGACCAGACTCTTAATTTGACTGAGTGACTTTAAAGTACTTGTATACTTTACTGAAGTAGCAATATGGAAAATGTTTGTGAAAGTATTCCCTTTAAAACATACCTAAAAGAGTGTAGTTGGGTGTCACTGTCTGCTGAGAACGTATAGCTGGAGTCTGTGGGTTTTTCATTTGAGTTCAGCATGGAAAGGAAGATAGAGAGAATGAGGGGAGAAACAAATGAAAGACAGAAGGAAATGGGTGGGAACATAAGGAAGAAAGCAGGCAGCAAGGGAGGAAGGATAAGGGAAAAGAAGGAGGAAGCAAGATGGGACAAAGGTACGAAAGAAAAATGGATGGAAGGGAATAATTAGGAAAAATGTGAGGAAGTTAAGGAAAAGGCTTAGACAAAAGGAAACAGAGGATAAAGAACAGAGAATAGGGAATAACAAAAGAAAGAAACAAGAGTCGAGGCGAAAGGAAGAAGTGATGGAAAAAAAGTGATATCACTGCAACTAGCAAATAAAGAAAGACCTGACACCTGACAGAGGGAAAGAAACCAAAGAAGGGTGGTAATGTAAGACAGAAGGAAATAATAATGAAAAATGGCAGGAAGGAAAGAAGGAAATATAGGTAGATAAAATGAGGCACAAAGGATTAAGGGAGGAAGGACAAAAGTTATAAGAAGGGGGTAAAAAGGAAAGAAAATAAGGTAATAATTGGCATCAAAGAAAGAATAAAGAAAGGGAGGGTAAAAATAAAGGAAAGATGAAAAGACAGGTGATATTGATGATGTATTAACAGTCTTTGGAAAGTCATGTTAGGTAATAAGTACAGAGAATGGGCAGAAGTGAGGGAAGAAGGAAGGCCAAAGGGGTAAATATAAAGATGGAAAGATGGAGGAAAGAAGGGGAGAAATAAATGTAAAAAAGATGAAAAAAATATGAAAAGAAAGGTGATTTTTTTTCATATATATTTTTTTGCAACTAAGAAAGACATGAAATAGGAAGGCTTAAAGTAGAGATGTTTCAGGACCTTTTTTTTTCTCTGATACCAATTCTGATACCCAAACTTGTAGGGCTGGGTAAAAAAATCGATTCAATCGTTTTAGTATCGATTTCATTTAAATTTTGCAATATCAATCCATAGGGCATGAGATCGATTTTTTCCCATGAACCCCAGTCTCGTGCGCGATGACGCAGAGGCGCGTTTACGTCCGGTTGACGTTCACAAGTGTGCAGACACACAATGGCCGACGCAGGCAAAACTCCGCTCAGCAAGCTGTCCCAACTTAAGTCTGACGTCTGGAAGCATTTTGGATTTAAAACAACACAGGACAAAGAGCTGGATAAAACCAAAGTGGTTTGCAATGTCTGCCAAGTGGAGGTCAGTTGTTGTAGAAATACTACAAACCTCAGAAACCACTTGACAAGGTATCACACTACGCTAACGTTAGCTTCCGACAACAAGCCGTCTGGGGCAAAACAAAAGAAACTGAGGGAATCACTAACATTACCAGCCGATTCTCCGCGAGCCATAAAGATAATGGAGGCCATCGCAACTTTTGTTTGCAAAGATTTACGCCCGTACTCCGTAGTGGAAAACGAAGGCTTCAAGCGGCTCGTTCAGGTGCTCGAACCACACTACGTTATGGTGCAACGTAAACATCTGACTGAGACTGTTATCCCCATGATGTATACACGTGTGAAAGACGACATCCTAACGAAAATGCAGTCAGCAGAGAGGGTCGCCATAACCTGTGACACCTGGACATCACTGTCAATGCAGTCGTACATGACAGTGACCTCTCACTACATCGACAATGAGTGGTGCCTCATGTCTCATGTGCTACAGACCACAGAGGTTCTCACGAGCCACACTGCTATTAATATAGCTGATATGTTGACGGAGGCCATACAGGAGTGGGGGCTGACCAGCAAAGACCCAGCAGTCGTGAAGGACAACGCTGCAAATATGGTTCGTGCGGTGGAGATAATGCAGCTAATGCACGTCGGATGCTTCGCGCACACATTGAACTTAGCCTCACAAGCAGGTCTGAAAATCCCAGCCGTGTCATGTCTGCTTGCTCGAGTGAGGCGTATAGCAACGTTCTTTCACCGGAGTACGACGGCAAACCACATACTGAAAGAAAAACAGAAGCTACTTCAACTGCCAGCGCACAAGCTAACAGTAGACGTTGTGACTAGGTGGAACAGTGCACTGGACATGCTGGAGCGCTTTTTAGAACAACAGCCAGCTATCTCTGCCATTCTCCTTTCACAAGACGTGCGCAGGAATGAAAAAGATCTGTGCACCTTAACAGAGGAAGATGTAACGATTGCCGAAGATTTGGTTCGGGTCTTGAAACCAATGAAAGAAGCCACACTGGCAATGTCGGAGGACAAGCAACCAACTCTGTCCGTCATCGCCCCACTTCTCGCCCTGCTGCAGGAAGCCTTGACCCCCAGCCTCGAAGACTCCACCGTGGTGAGGGACTTGAAGGCTGCTGCAAAGAATAACTTGAGGACAAGGTATGCTAAGGTCTCGCTCTTTCTCTGTGTGTGTGTGTGTGTGTGTGTGTGTGTGCACGCACAATAGTAAGTGGTAGGCCAAATCAAAACATTACAAAAGCAAAGTTTTGTATTTTATATGTGCACTTTCTTCTCATTTTACTGATTAGTTGTAGCAGTTAATAATTTATAATCCATGCACTTTTTTGTTTGTATGTGTGAGATTGTTTATTTGTATGCATGCCATGTTTATCCTCATACTGTGATACCAAAAATAATTTGTGAAATGTCTTTAAGATATGATGCGCAGAAGGACACATTGTATGCAGCATCAGCGCTGGATCCTCGCTTTAAGGCCCTACCATCCCTGTCCGCTAAAGAGCGAGATGACACCTTCTCCAGACTGCAGTCTGAGGCTGCCACTGCTGCATGTGATGTAAGTATTTTTAAAAAAACTGTTCAATTTAATAAGAATGTTTTCAATGAGAATTAAAAGATTCTCTATTGGATTATAAGGAATAGTATAAAATATAAAAGAGTTCATAAATGATTTTCAATCTATTTATTTATTTATTCATTTATTTATTTCTGTTTTTTTTTTTTTTTGTCTTATTCAACAGCAAAATACTGATGGTAATGATGCTGAGGAAGGAGCTGAGGAGATGGGGAAGCGACTTCGCCCAAGAAGCCCAAGAAATCCAGCACCTTGGAGTCTCTCCTTGGGGCAGTCTACTTACCAACAGTAAAGGAAAATGAACAGAAAACTCCAGCAAAGAGGGCTCAAGATGAAATCAGAAGATACAGGGCGGAAAAACCTGCTGGGCTGAATGAAAATCCTCTGACCTGGTGGAAGTCAAATGAAAGGGAGTATCCACTGTTGGCTCGCCTGGCCAAGCAATACCTTTGTGTCCCAGGGACCAGTATTGCATCAGAGAGGGTGTTTTCAACTGCGGGTGATATTGTCACTGCAAAAAGGAGCTGCCTAACCCCAGATCATGTCAATGAGCTCCTTTTCCTAAACAAGAATCTCACAATTACCAAGTGAGAACAAAGTCACAATAACAGGACTTGACTTTAGACAGTTTAAGTGTACTTTTAGTTTTGTAACCATTGTTATTATTTTTGCACTTTAAGAAACAATGCCTTAATGCAATTTGCAGTGATGGAATGTTGTGGTTCAAGTACACTTTCACTTGCAATTCCTTTCTAATGTCAAAATTGCACTTTTGAGACTTGAGACAGCTTTGTTTACAGTTCAAGTTTGAACTGTGCAATTTACATGTTTGCACTTAAAACCTATTGTTTATAGTGAAGAGAAAATATAAGTGCATTTGTATTTTGTAACACAGTTGAGCCATTTTCATTATATAAGAGCAGATCGAATTTTAGTTTTGTAACCATTGTTATTATTTTTGCACTTTAAGAAGCAATGCCTTAATGCAATTTGCAGTGATGGAATGTTGTGGTTCAAGTACACTTTCACTTGCAATTCCTTTCTAATGTCAAAATTGCACTTCTGAGACTTGAGACAGTTTTGTTTACAGTTCAAGTTTGAACTGTCCAATTTACGTTTGCACTTAAAACCTATTGCTTATAGTGAAGAGAAAAAATAAAGTGCATTTGTATTTTGTAACACAGTTGAGCCATTTTCATTATTTAAGAGCAGATCGAATCAAATCGAATTGAATCATGATTAATCGATTCAGAACCTTATGAATCGAAATCGAATCAATTTAGGAAATTGGCCACGATACCCAGCCCTACCAACTTGTGTATAAATAGTGTAAAATATTGCTAAATTGCTGACATTTTGCTAACAGCTAATGTTCCACTGTTGATCAGAAATCGTTTCCTCTTCACTGCTATGAAGCAGTAGTTACCAGTGGCTGAACCAAACCCACAGGAAGAGTGCTGTGCTTGGAAGCCAATTTTACATAGTGGTCAAAAGTGGAACTACACCCTCCTGGTCCATCACATGATGCCATTGGATCCAAGAAGACTTTTCCCATAAACATATTTTGGGATAGAGACGCCTGCAAATCAGTGGATACATTTTTTGAGCGTCAGAACCCTGCAAAATGACTCACTTTACTATCAGGATTTGATCAGTTTGGTCTGATAGCATTTGGACAGTCTGCAGGAGCTGCAGTATTAAATAATTTTATTCCCATTGGAATTAGTGGAGTACTAAACTGGAAGTTAGTTATTTGGCCGGTGGAAGTTAGCCGCTTAGCTGCCATAAGTCTTTGGTGCACCTGCTCTATGGGCCCCATAATGCGATATATATTTGGGTAGTTTCATACTTCTGAAATAAAGCTTTTTTGGCTTTAATTTTAATTTAATTTAATTTTATATACTTTATTAATCCCCAAGGGGAAATTCAGTTTTTCACTCTGTTTGTCAATTACACACAGGTCCGAACACCCACGCACAAACTGGACCTATACATGCACTAAGTGGAGAGATGTCAGAGTGGGCTGCCCATGACAGGCGCTCCGAGCAGTTGGGGGGTTCGGCGCCTTGCTCAGGGGCACCTCGGCAGTGCCCAGGAGGTGAACTGGCACCTCTCCAGCTACCAGTCCACGCTCCATATTTTGGTCCGGACGGGGACTTGAACAGGCGACTCTCCGGTTCTCAACCCAAGTCCTTATGGACTGGAGCAGCTTTGATGGGAATGAACAGGGGCCCACCTCCAATGCTGTATCCAGGTCTCTTAATACATCCATGGGCTGAACAACGCAACTTGCTGCAAAGCAGAATTTATTTCTACGAAAACTGTCCTTTTATCTGGGGGTGAAACTACTTTATGGTTTATTACTGAATTATCAGTGCATGGACTTTCGTACTTGCCCACATGTGAGCCACCATTTTATATAGTATCTGAGGTAGTTCCGATACTGGTATCAGTATTGGAATATTTTTAGCCAAAAGGAAGGAAAGCGTAAGTCGAAGCATGTAGATAAATAGAGCATCAGGAGTGCGAAAGGAAGCAAGAAGGAAAGGAACTGAAGTTAGATCAATTAGGAAAGAAAAAAGGAAAATAAAATTAAAGTTGGAAAAAAATAAGGTACGGGAAGACGGGAAGAAGGAATTAGATAAGGAATACTTGATATTGTCTTTTAGGAAATGTAAATGTTAAACATCAGCACTTCAAACAGTACTTAAGTATGATACCTGAGTCATTCTTGTACTCCACCTCTGCTGACTGTACAACTAAAGACATCACTTATTTCACGTTTTGTCAATGAGAACATTTTTACCAGTTTCCAGTGCCAATCAGCTCATTCCCAGACTTTTGTGAATCGAGTGACGTTATCTGTTGCACAAAGTTTTCATTCATTTTTTACTATTTAATTAGGGTTAGCTGACAAAAACTGCTGACAGTAGAGACAGCCATATAAGTCAGTGTGAGGGCTGACATTGTGACAGGCTGACAGAAACACAAAGTACACATTTACATTGGGTCCAGCCACAGTCTTGAAATGTGTGGTTTGGAAAGAATTGACAAGAAGAGCACACTGTCATCTGCTGAGCTGGGCCTGTCTGCGAGCTGCTATATTTGGAGTCCAGACATGTACAGAGTTGGCAAACAGCAAACCTTGACTGTACTGTAGCTGCTGACCAATAAACCCAGGTTTAACAAGGGTATTTAAGTTTAGAATGGAGATAATTGATTTTTCTCATTGACTCTCTCACTTCACCATTGTTCTGTGGGCAATCCAATAGCCTCACATTTAAGCAGTTGATTAGATCACTTTACAACGCCTGCAGGGACGAGCTCACAAAATTGTCTCACGGCATTAAATGAACATAACTGTATTGAACTGACGGCTGATGATCATAACCAATGACCTGGCACCATTACTACCATTAGTGACAGCATGCACTCAGAGAGCACAGTTGGATTTCTCCCGAAGAAACCAGATTTCTTGGCCATGCATATGCTTAACACACCTTGCCTGACAGCTGGATTCTTGTGAGATCACACATGAGGTTACATGAAAATCCGTCTCCCCTGATGTGTTTATGTTCTAACCACTCCTGTGAGGAGCTATTGGCAGCTATGGGCATGGTGTAGGTGTGTGTGATGACACGGAGAGGCAACTGTTAGTTCAAAACAACAATGGCTGCGTCTAAAGTAGGGATGTGCCAGTTAGTTGACTAGTTGATTAAACATTGCTACCCTCCCAAGTTAGCAGCAGAAATACTAGTCAGTAAAACTTATTATCAAGATACCCAGAGGAAGGTGGGGTGAGTTTGGATCAGCATGTGAGACCAGCAGTGCTGTTTATCTTCCTCTCTTGGCATGTGCATTCACATAACTGGTACAAGTTTTCCAAGCCTTCACACACACCCACTCCTCAATATAATCTCATCCCTATATGTCATATTTTGATGCTTGGGCAGACGCCCCCAGCGTCACCATAGTAGCAGCCTTTTGCAATGTATCTTGACACAGAAGTGGTCAGCTGTAAATCACATGAGACTAAGAGCTTATTTATGCTCAATGTTAGATACGTAGATGGAGATGGATGGAGCCTGTCTGTACTCTGTGTTCATCTTGTCCATATGTGTGCACATTTTCTGAGAGCTTACAGATACAGACTAAATGGAGCAGAACCACTGGAGATCCTGGGGGTGGTGTAACTTATTTCAAGTGAGATACGACTGTAGGAGACGACAGAGAAATTTAAATAATGGCAGAGTAGAGCGCATCAGTAATGTAGTGAAAAGAATTCTCTGTCCATATGTAGTGATGTAAATAATGGCATCCTATACCACTGCTGTTTACAACGCTGCCTCCATTTAAAGGTACAATATTAAGAGCTCCTCCACCGTTGTGTGAAACTTTTGATTCTGCCCTCTAGTGCCATCTATGGGCTGTGTCTCTGCCATCATAAAGAACGTATGCAAGTTTGATGGCAGTGACATTTATAATGTTTGAAATGAGCATATCTCCTTTTGTACGTAAAGAGAATATGAATGAGCCTTAAGAAGGGTCGGCAGTTAGGTTTAGGCAACAAAACTACTTGGTTAGGGTTAGGAAGCAATGTAATTGACATAATATCTCAACCTTGACTTTTAGTTTCAACTTGGGCACAAACACTGGTCTCCTGGGTCAAAGTCCTGTGCTTGTTAAGCTCTTCTGCCTGACCGTCTACCTGCCTTATATAGACTTTTGCACTATTTATAATACGTATGCTGTGAGCGTCCTATAATGAGGTTTACATTGGAGTTGGTTAGACGATAAAGGGTCTCACTCCCAGGTGGCAGGCTGTGTGCCAGCTGGATGTCTTCTCACTAGGCTGAACAAGAGAGGCGCTTTAAGGCTTGTCACTAGTTTGGTCCACGGAACATCCTGAGAAGCCTGGATGTGTGTGTGTATCAGTTTACATGCAGTAGAGAGTTACTGCTTAATTGTGTGTGTGTGTGTGTGTGTGTGTGTGTGTGTGTGTATGAATGGAGATGAGTTGGGACGTTAAATTGCCTACACTGTAAATAAATAATATTTAACCTTTATTGATTTAGTTTTTAGTTTAATTTAGTTAGTTGTAAATTGTGCAATGTTCATACTGTAATGCAGTAATTTGGAAAATGTTATTACTATTTCCAATGAGTCTTTTATGCAGTTTTTTTTTTTTTTTGACAATGTTTAACCTTATTTATATGTGAATATGCCAATTTTGATTGTGTGTCATTGTTTTCTTAATTTTAAATGTAAGGTAAATTAGCTGTTACCATCATCCTTACCTAGTCTAAAGAGATTAGTATAGATGCTACAATAGCATCAGTTGTGTCACCACTTGAGAGTATTTTTCCATTAAAAGAAGAGCAAAGAACAGCACTGAAGCCTTTTTTTTCTGGACAGAAAAGATGTTTTCATCCAGTCACCTGCCAAATCTGAAAGTACCTGCCCTTTTCCAAACAGTTTTGACAGCTTCTCATATGGTTCTGTGTAACAAACCATCTGGCTCATCAGGTTAATGCTTAGCTAGGTTTATAACAAAGCTTTGAAGAGAACATGTGCATGACAAAGACTTCACACAGAGAAAGTCTTTAGTGTGGCATCACAGCAGTGGGATACCATCAGTCCAACCAATTAAACCCTCTCTGACTAAAACTGACACTGAAATAAAGAATAGAGGCTGGTATATGCATGTTGTGTTTAAGTGCAGGTGGAAATTTAGGCGTCCAGCTTTCTAGTTTAACATTTATAGGTACAGAGAGCTTTACAATAGCAAATGCTATTCAAATTAATCAACTTGATATTGGAAATGTATATACAGTAAATCTGTTCTGTTTGTGGATCATATAACACATTTGTCTTCAGTATTGAGACTAATTTATCTTAATATTACAGTTGCTAGGTTACTT